AATCCTAAATACTTAGGAAGCTGAGATCTGAGGATTGCAGTTCAAAGTCCATGCAAGAATATTTGTGAGAGTATTATCTCCAAAAAAAAGTCAGAAGTGAGGCTGTGGCCAAGTAGTAGAGTGCTAGCCTTGAGTAAAGAAAGCTTAAGCACCTGAGTTCAAGCCCCAGGACTGGCATCTTAAAAGGAGGGGGCAGGGAGCTGAGGAAAGTAACAGAGGAGGTGAACTTAATCAAAACCCATTATAAACATGAACAGAATGATCACAATGAAACCCATTTTTCTAACAGTAATATATGCCAACAAAAAGAAAAAAATGCACTGTTAAGGCTTAGTGAGGAAAATCAAATACAGATTATAAATCAGCAGAAATGAAAAGCTTGCCAGGAGACACTAAGCCACTGGCTAAGCTTATAGGAAGGTCACAGGCACTTAACAAATAGTTATTGTAGCTTTCAGCCAGTGCTGAGTTTTAAAAACAGAAATGTTTATAGGGCCCAGATGTCCTAAGAATGGACAAAATGCAAAATCAAGAGTGGAGATCTTTTATCTGAAGTCCAATTGCCTGTATTTATTGCAAAAGCAGTATTAATGTATGCATTCAGCCTATAGGCATTTAAAATGTTTAAAGAGTTTGCTTCTTGAGTCACTATATTTCAACCTAGAAAGACTCCTGTAACAATTTTGGGCCTCTCTCTTTCTCTGATGCTGGGATTTGAACTTTGGGCCTTGATTTATCTATATTTTAAGGCTATAAACTTCAGTCATTACTACCTATATTATTTTTGAATCTTGGTCATAGAATTCATTTAATATTTTTGCTTAAAATGATTTAATTCATTATTTAGCTGTGTTTATATTAAAGCATTTCCCTACAACAACCCTCACAGATGGTGAGGCTGAGTCTCAAATTCAAGGTCAAACTGATTCAAGGAGGTATGACTCAAAACCAAGTGGGCTTAAGTTGTTTTTTGTCATCCCTTTCAGCTGTTTTCCAAGTCTGAGAGTTGTTGCCTTTTGTACTACAACATGAATGTCTTGCGATTCAATGTAGACATTTGTGGAGGGGTTGCAATACAGGAAAATGTGTTTAACAGCATACCATGCAGACAGGATAGGAGGATGAAGACATTTTGTGGGGGGTGAGGGGCAAAGGCAGATAGCTAAGGATTTTTAACCTGATTACCCTATAACGTATTATCCCTTCCATTTTTTAAATCTTCATTGAAAAAGCTGAGGAGTTCTAATAATTTAAGAAAAGTGTGTTTGTCTAATGAAAGGCTACAAAGTCATCAGGCCAGAATTTACTTTAAAAATTCTAGCACACATTTTTCTAAGTCAGATCCAGTCCAAAATAAAAATAATAATTAATTAGTAAGTTTTTGCTTGCAACTTCCTGTTGTAAACTGTCAGATATTTCTTTTAATTTGGTTTATATTAAATTTTCTATTCATCTAATATATACTTTGATAAATTTATTACCCAAGGCTCCTTACTTTAAAGTTGGCTGTATATCTTCTGATTACCCAGCTTTATCTTTAAACTGCCCATGTTTTACAAGATGACATTTCTTGGTTCTGTCAAACTACTGCAAGAGGAGAGAGGGTTGCATCTTCAACACTGGACACAGATGCCTCACCTCTACCGGAGAAATATTTATCCATGCTAATCTGCTTTGTGATCCCTCTAGCTACAGTGCAGGCCTCTTGGATCTAAACTGAATTGCATGAAAAGCTCCTGGGTGTGCAAACTATATTTTATGTTTCCTTATCCAGAAGGCAGACGACTGGATTTGCCAGGTGGCTGATGTCTCAGTCCTGACCTCTGATCTCAGCACATTCAAAATGGAAATCACTTGTCTTCATTCCAATTTGATGTATGTCCTCCCAAACTTTAATGGATACACGTGTAAACATGTAGATTATGCTCACAAGTCAGCTTCCCAAGCATGGCTGATGTGTATGTTCCAAGTATATAGATGTGATTCAATTTAATTCCCTAATCCTCTATTAGAAATTTAGGGTACTTAACAAGGTTTCTCTATTCTACATGCTACAATAACTTTATGTTTCATTAGTTTGCTGTAGTGTTTCTCCAAATGGCCAGATCAAGTAAGAGGGTTCCTTCCCTTCTTCCCTCCCTCCCTCTCTCCCTTTTTCCCTCCCTCCCTCCTTTCCTTCCCTCTACCTTCTTTTCCTCCCTTTCCTTTCTTTTTTTTCCTTCCCCTCCCATCTCCTTTCCTTTGGTATAGGTTTTTTTGGGGGAGGGCATAGCATTGGCATTTCAACTCAGGGCCTTGCGCTTGCTAGGCAGATGTTCTACCACTTGTACCATGCCCAAAGCCCTTTGATGCTTATTTCTAACATTCATACAATAATTTCTGATACAATATGTCTAGTATAGTTCTCTGATTTGGGAAACTACATTACTACTCTGATCATGTCCTATTACTTAAGTCCAGTTCTTGCCACACACACCCCTCCAATATCTTGTAAATTTCTTAAGAATACACATTTCCTTACTCATCCTTATATTCAAATTAATTCTGATTCTACATATGGTAATAAAACCCAATCACCAGGTGCTAGGGTAAAATTAGAAGGGGTGTAATTCCTTCCCAGAACAGCAGGGGAGGCAGACTCACCACCAGCAAGGTATGAATACAGTAAGTACAGTCAGTTCTCTACTACATGTAGGTTTACACAATTATTATATGAAGAAATAATAGGGAACAATTAATTTCTTTCAGGGACAAAAAGAAATAAAGAGAGGAAAAGAGTTGAATAGGAAACTAGGGAGAAAGGTCAATTATTGAGTTAGTCCTTAAAGCAACAGAAATTACAAGATGGGCAAATAATAGGACAGACCTACCAGTAGAAGCTAGACAGTTCATATGATTCCTTCCTCCCTCCCCTGTCCCCTTGCTGGGAGCACTAGTCCTACTTAGGTGTTTGTGAAGGCCCTATCTTCTTCTAAGACAGGATTTTTCCATTGCAGCACAACTGACATTTTGAGCCAGACAATTCCTTAAGGCTGTGCTTTATGAGATGTGTGACACCACCTCTAGCCTCTCATACTGCAAGTAGCCAAACTCCAGGATGCCAACCCAAAATGTGAACAGATATTGCCAAACATCTCTGAGGTCAGGAAAAGTCTAATTCAACATCTAGTGATGTGTGACTGTCCTATCTTTTCTTTTCTCCCTGTCCTGAAAATAGATATTTTGGGGGATGGGTGTCAAAACCCAGTTAGATCCTCATTTTATATCTATATTAGTGGTAAATTGGCCAGATGCATTGCTACTGGTTTCCAGAGATAAGAAAGGATGGGTTTTTATGATGAAGCTTAACAAAAAAAAAAATGCAGTGTTCACTGAGCAAATAAGATTATTTGCTCAGAACATAAGAGAAGAGCTAGTATGAATTTCTTCAGGCCACAGGCAGGGAAAGCTAGATTTAAAAAACAAACTCATTTACTATCATATAAATGAAGAAATCAGATTTAGATACAGTGGACCAAAAATCCACAGTAAATAAAAACTTGCTTTGGAAGTTAAGCATCAAGTGAACACGGAAATGCTATCCTGGATCCATCCTTGCTAGACCTCCAGAGTACATTCAATGCATATGCGATGAAATTGAGACAGCTGAAGGCAGGAGTTGGGTTGGGAGGATTGAGGGAGAATGAGTGGCATTAATAAAGTTGCATTGTAATTTATAAACTTATTTGTTGAATGTTAACTCCCTTGTACAACTATTTGAAGATAATAGAATATAATGTAAAAAAAGCATTTATTGTTCTATAAGAGACAATGTATACTAACTGATATTGGTGCTCACATAATTTTTAAAGCATACGAGCATCTTTTACTTAATCTAAAACTGTAGAAAATTGATTTTGCAATTGTCTACACCAAGAAAACTGAACCTAAAGATATATGTTAAACGAGTAGATTAAAGATACACAGCTAAACAGAAACCAAGTTCATGTACTAATTCTAGATTTCTTTCTACCATAATTTCCAATATTATATGACTCTGCACCTCTCCACGTAGAAATATCACTAGACTAACAAATAAAAATATTCCCTGCCATACAAATACTGATCCTTTATTATCTAAAACCACATTTCCTTTAGGCATTTTATTTTACTTAAGAAAAATTAATTCTATTTACTTTTGTTTATGTGGTACCAAAGAATCAAACCTGGAGCCTCATGAATGCTAGGCAAGCACTATACCACTAAGCCACAATCTTAGCCCACTTTAGGCATTTTAAAGATAGTATCTTCTAAAGTAACGAGCGGGAACTTTTTGTTATTCTTAACACTCCCTTAAATTAAAAAGTTACCAAATCTATGAGACTGCATTCTTCATGGCTCAATAGTTGGCTTATGATAAAATGTTTGCAATTTCCTAGATTTAGTAGAAATAGTTTTCAAACTATAGTTGGTACTCCCAAACATGAATTCCACCAGGACCCAAAGGTACATAGGGAAGGAAGGGCCAGGAGTTTTCCAGCTATAGAAAGTTAAGTCACGGGCTGGGAAGGTGGCTCTGTTGTAGAGCACTTGCCTTGCATGCATGAGGCCCTGGGTTCAATTCCTCAGCACCACATAAGCAAAAAGAAAAAAGCCGGAAGTGGTGCTGTGGCTCAAGTGGTAGAGCGCTAGCCTCGAGCTGAAGAGTTGAGGGACAGCGCCCAGGCCAGAGTTCAGGCCCCACGACCAGACCCCCCCCCAAAAAGAAAGAGAGAAAGAGGGAAAGAAAGAAAGAGAGAAAGAAAGAAAGAAAGAAAGAAAGAAAGAAAGAAAGAAAGAAAGAAAGTTAAGTCACATTTCATTAAATATTACTTTTCTCTATAAAGTTAGGGGCTTATTCTAAATAACAGGGTGAAAATAACCTACACATTTTGCAATCAACCACCACAGATATTTTGAATATGAAAGTCTAAGTTTAGTTCCCAGGACCAATAAGAAAGCAGTGGATGCTATGGTCTTACTCCATCATGGAGGGTGGAATGGTGCAGCAGTCTTGAATGGCAGTTAGCGGGGAGGTCAGATGAGCTGTGTATGATGCTTCCACAACTTGCTTATTCCGATTGACCACATCCAAGTATCGGTTGAACTTCTCACGGATTTTTTTGGCTAGCTGTGGACAGCAGTAAAACAAATACATAAATAAATGCAAAATCCCAAAAAAAACTCCCACTGTACTTATGCTAATTAACTTGTCTGTGTCCAAAGTTTCATGCATTCAACTTCAGATAACACAAAAGTCACACTCAAATCACCTTCACTTTCTGGGTTGAGGTAAAATTTGCAAAATGCCCAGATGTCACACTGGAAAACCTAGACAGTAATAAGAGATGATGGCATGGTATGAACTTCTCGGATCCAAAATCAAGTAGAATGACATCTATCCATAAAATGCCTTGTGGGAAAAGGATAACAAAGACAACTGATATTATTGTCAGCATGACAGTTGGCATTTGAGTTATCTAGCAAAAGTGACTGCAAGGGAAAAAAAGAGAGATTTTTATCACTTGTGGTTCTGCACTCACATATATGATTTTCTTGGTGTGTGTGACAGGGGGAGGGGAACTCGATGAAGGAAGGGGGGTAACATTTATTGCCTCCTACGATGTAACCCCAGGGGACACTTTTCACAATCTTCCATGAAAATGACAATTCCCCCAAGATGACAACATAGATATCCATATAAAACCAAATGTATAGTTAGAAATATATTTGGATGTAGTCTGTTATACTTTTAAGATGGAAAAATGTCTTTCTTCACTGCTCTGAACAGAATATTTCATCATGATTCATTTTCATGTGGGAATAATGGGAGCAAATTGGTAAGCATACTGCTTTTTCCTCCATTGTTCCTATCAAACACCACAGCTTAATTACAGATCTCCAAGGAAAACAGTGTTGTTTTTCTTCCCCTTAAACAAAATGTTATCCAAATGAAATGACTGATAGAATTATAGCTAATTGGTTTTGCTGAGCTATTCATTACCAGTACACTGGAGGAGAACTAATCATCTCCTCTGGGTCATGCAGCTCATAGAACCCAATAGCTTCCAGGCTACAAACATGAAGTTAAATAACACCATCTCCATTTGTTATTTTCAAGCCAATTTTTCTATCTTGATTCTATTCTGGTGATATTCTCAACTAAACAACCAGAAGTCTGAAGTCTCCTTAAAAAAATATTACACCAATTATATAAGGTTCAAAAAACAAAATCACATGCAGGAGATGTCTGGGAAAATTCACAAATCTGCCTAGAATTCTTACTATTTGGAAAAATATATGTTTTCTTTGTTGGGGTTATTGCAATAATACATATACATAGCTGAATTTCAAATCTCAGTTTTTAAAAAATGTTTTTACTATCCTTAAGTAGTTGTACAAAGGAGTTGCCATTCAACAAAACTCAAATCTCTATTTAAATCAGGGGTGATCACTGCATCTCTATACTCCAAGCTGGGACATTTCCGAATTATAACAATTTTGTCATAATTTGGTGCAAATTACCAAAAGGTAGGCAGGAAAGGGCCAGAGATGCTCCTAAACACACTATAATGCACAGGTCACTTCCTGTAACCAAGAACTAACTGTCCAATCCCCAAATTCATTCCTGAGAGTCTTCGACCTTATCTTTTGTTCTAATGACTCACAAATTCTTTAAAATTACAATCTCCCCACATACTGGTGGCTCATACCTGTAATCTTAGCTACTCAGGAGGCTGAGATAGAAGATTGCAGTTCTTGTGTAAGGAAGAAAAGTCTGTGAGAATCTGTACGGCTATCTCCAATTAACCAACAAAATGTGGATTGGAGGCATTCGTCAAGTGGTAGAGTGTCAGCCATAGACAAGAAAGCTGAGTAAGAGCATGGGACCCTGAGTTCAACCTCGAATGCTTGGCAAGTGTTTCATGACTGAGCTATATCCCCAATCTAGAATATTTATTTTTTTTATATACAACAACATGTACTTCTGGAAGCTATATTATGAAATAGACCATAGCTTTTCTTTTGAGGTTCTGACTTCTTACAACATAAGTATCATTAATTTCTACCTACAAGTATCAAGAGCATAGTACATCACTTGGGAACAAACACTGCACCAGGATGAAGATAAAGAATACTAGCAAGAACTGAATTTCCAAACAGTATCTTCACCAATTCACTTTAAAATGGACATGAAACTTGCACTCACTTGTCTTTCACAAACAAACACATTGTCTGTGTCTGTGTGTGCCTCTTTCTTACCTTACATTGGTTATGAGGGGAGGAAGGATTTCATTTCATTGTTATATATCCACATATATTTACAATAGATTCCAATCTCAATGGTTCTTTTACCTTCCCTTCGCCCTTCCCAAAACAATTTCAATAGGTTTCATTGTTCTATTTTCACACATAAAGTCTACTCTGACCATACTAACCCAACCCCACCAGTATAACCTACTTACTGACAGAATGTTTCTCTTTCTTAGCTTCTTCCAGCTTTCAGAGGCTCTTTATGCTGTTTTCAAATATAGTCCCTTTTGTATATCAAAAATTTTCACCTACTATCTTTCCCTTTCCCTTCTCCTCCTAAGTAGTTCCTTAGTTAGATTTGTATTCTATTGTTTCTGTGTGTGTGTGTATTGTTACACATATGGTTAGATATGTGTGTGTGTGTGTTCACATATGGGCAAATACATAATCTTTTTTTTGCATTCGGTCTTGCTCAATTATACATTTTCCTGCAGATGACATTTCACTTTTCTTTATGGCTACATAATACTCTGGTGTATGTGGGGTGTATATGTGTGAGTAAGATGTCTTCTTTATCCATTCATCTGTTGTTGGGCACCTTGGATTCTGGTTGACTCTATCATTTGGCTATTATCAACAGTAATACACCTAAACATGGATATGCAGGTATCTTTCTGAGAGTAGCATGGACGGGTCATAAGGAAGGTCTATTTTTAGTCTTTTGAAGAACTGCTATACTGATTATTTCTCCTCTTCCTCCTCCTCCTCCTTCATCATGTGGCTTAAACTCTGGGCCTGGGCACTGTACCTGAGTTCTTCAGTTCATGGTGAGCATTCCACCACTTGAGCCACAAAGCTGCTTCCAGTTTTCTGGTGGTTAATTGGAGATAAAAGTCCCATGGACTTTCCTGCCCAGGCTGGCTTTGAACTGTGATCCTCAGATCTCAGCCTCCTAAGTAGCTAAGATTAAAGGAGTAAGCCACCGGCACCCAACTTCTCTATACTGATTCCTGATAGCTATTTTCACCATACTATGGCAGTGTTAAGTAGTTATACTAGAGGCTATATGACCTGTTCTGTTACAAGCAGAAGTTAGAGGTTCTAACATATCCCAAGATGGAGCCATAATTCCAATATGGGATTTTATTTAATTAAAAAATTTGAAGTCCTTTAACATTGAAGTATTGCATTGAAAGATGGGATGTGCATGAAGTCTGTGTGGACTCATGCGGGCTTCCACAAGCCTATACCTTCTAAAGCTGGGTCATAAAAAGTCATGTGACATCTACCAGTCTTTCTTGGAAGGCTTACCCTAACGCTAGCTCTCGGGTACCATCCTAGAAGTCCAAGACACAGGTAGAAGTCATGGAATATGTTTGGTTTGCATCCCTGAATTTTCAGATCACCTCAGCCCAGATTCTCTACAAATCAAAAAACTTCCAGATAATATTAACCCTTTGAGTCTCTTCTGATGAGTGCCCCCGAATTTCCCCTGATATCTCCGAAGACATCATCCTTGCTTAGCCTGTCTTGACCTACAGAATCCCTAGCTTAAAAAAATAGCTGTTTATGTCATTACATGTTGAGTAGTTGGTTATGTATGTGAAAATACCTAAGGAAAGATTGATCCATCCTAAGAATTAACATAATGAAGCAAAGCTACACAAAGCTGCTTAAGTACAGGCATGGTATCACTATTATCAAATGATCCACAGTACATGTGAACTATAAAGTGAATGCAAAGAGACTTCAGGGTTCATCAGAAAATTTTGATAGCTGCCACATAGAGGTACTTACCCAACCAGTAGAGTTATCTCTATTTTATACCAATGAACTTAAGTGATTAGCTTCAAGCTATAAAATCAGTGAAAAAGTCAAATGACTCATCTCAAGACTATCTTGCCTATAAAGCCAGACAAACGAAACCTCAAGAAGCTGCAAAGGAGACTTGAAAGATGACAATATGGAGAATCTCACAGGTTGAACTTTTAGTAGAAACATAATGAACAAAATACAGAGCAGAATGTTAGAAGTCCCTTGGCTTTGTGCTGGGTATGGAAAGGATTGTTTTAAGGGGTGGAGATGGTGGAGACCAGGACATACCTGCCTTTGGCTTTCTAGTTTGGGTCAGCCTCAAACTACATTTTTCTCTACCACTCTTCACCTGATGTTGGGGATTGACCTCTTGGGAATGCTGAGCACACTCCATCACAGAGTTACAGTCCAGGCTACACTCCTCATCAATGGAGATAAAGTCCAGGCACACCATTAGCAAAAGGTCTCCCATGTGCAGGCTCCTTCAACCTCTCATTCAGAGCCCTTAGTCTTCTGTGCAGTGACACCCTTACCTCACCTCATTCAAAAGGGAAAAAAGAAGCCAACCATTTGTTAGAGGCTGTCTATGAAAACATTTCCTAAGCATCTCACATATACATAACAATTTAATCCTTTAAAGAAACCTATAGCTGGGTATGTTGAATATGCCTATAATTCCAAGTTCATAGAAAGCTGAGTCATGAAGACAGGATTATTTGAACTTGTAACCCAACCTGGGCAACATAGTTAAGACCTTTTCTTAAAAAAAAAATATTTCTTTCTTTTTAAATTGCTAGCCAGGCACCAGTGGCTCACATGTATAATCCTAGTTACTACGGAGGCTGAAATCTGAGAATCACAGTTCTAAGTCAGCCCAAGCAGGAAAGCCTGGGAGACTCTTATCTCCAATTAACCACCCCAATAGTTGGTGTGGCTCAAGTGGTAGAGGTCTAACCTTGAACCTTAGAAGAAAACATAGGTTCTGTGTCACAACAGAGCTTCTAGAAGTATAAATCCTTTTTGATTAATGCTGTGAGATTCTTGGCAGGATACCATAAGCCA